TATATATATATATATATATATATATATATATATATATATATATAGATAGATATATGTTGGTATACAGTAGCACAACAAAGCCTTTTTATTTAGAAAGCATGCAAGCTGAAATGGACTTTAATGTCATAATTCTGACTTTATTCTGAGAATTCTGACTTTTTCTCAGAATTCTGACTTTAATATCAGAATTATGACTTTAATCTCAAAATTCTGACTTTATTCTCAGAATACTGACTCTTTTCTCTGAATTTCTGAGTTTAATATCAGAATTCTCACTTTTTCCCATATTAAACTAAAATAAATTTTAAAAATCAGTAAACTTTTTTTTTTATTTTTTCACTGGCCCTAATCATCTTCCGTAACATTTAAATATCAACTCAGTGGAAAAAAACATCAAGATCACCAGAGAAGATGCCTACCTATCAGATAGCAAAAGGTTCCTAAAAGAAGATTTTTTTTTTTTGCTAAATTAAACCAGGTGAAACTAAAACTTTGCCACTTGAGAAATTCTGGATAGAGCCTATTGTTGAACAAAAAAAGTTTTAAATCTGAAATGCAAAATATTGATGTTTTTTTTTCTTTGGTATATCTAGTGCTCTAAGAATGTTACTCTTTAATCTAAAGGCATGTTTTAGTCTCTATACTCCGGTTAGTGATTAATCAATTACTAAATGAATTGACGATTGTTTCAATAATCTGTTAATCACGATTATTCCAATAAATTGTTTCAGCCCTAAACCCCATAAGATTTTCTCTAAACACAACAAACAAAAACAACTCGCACAGAAGAAAATTGTTAATTTCAAAGACAGAACACTCAAACCAAAGCTGAGCGGCCTTGTTTATGCAGTGCCGTGCAGCAAGGACTGTTTAACACTCCTTCAATGGAGAAACCAAACAACAACTACACAAACACATGTCACAGCACAGGAGAGCTAGCAGTTCTGGGCAAGATCCAGCTACACTTGCACTTCAATAGCTAAGGACACACCTTTGAATACAAAAACATTCAGATCATGGTCGGAGAGGGCTGATGGTTAGAAAGAGGGGTGAAGGAAGTCATCTTTGTTAAAAGAGCCGTTTAAGCTCCCAATCATCTACAACTCTATCCTTGAACTCATTCCAAGAAGGTAACACAAACAGGGTGATCATTATTCAAATGGCCAAACACAAAACTCATAAAAATCAACCTCAACGACCAGGAGAACGATGGGTGGGTCATTGATTTGCATCTGACCTGGAATGTACTTAGGATATGCCTCTGGGTGTTTAACTACACCAGTGTTTCAAATATAGGTTGGTCTGGTGAGAACCGACAGAAGGACAAAGGCTCCTGGAAGGTGTCGAAACATTTTTAGGAAAACCTGAGAGAAAGTCTGCTTGCTTCCAATTTAAGCCTGTTTTTAGATTATCTAGACAAGTATAGAACTAATTATTTTCCTGGTTTGGATAATGATGGCAAATGAATATAACATAGGCAAAATCTTTATATTTCTAGACTTTGTTCCCAATCCCATATTTCTAGACTTTGTTCCCAATCCCATTTATATTTCATCCTTCTTTCTCTCCCTTATGTCTTTTGAATCTGCTTCCTTGTGTCCTCCCACCTTCTCCTAAACCCTACCTTCTTTTCTTGTCCCTCCATTTTCTCCTCAGCCTGTCCTTTTTCAGTCTAATTTTCATCCATCCTTATGACTTTGTCCCCCAGCCTTATTCCTCCCTTTTAGAGGTCCTGTCTGTCCTTCCATGCTCTACATCCCTTCATTTTGTCATTCTTTCTCTTTTTTCTGACTTTCATTGGTGACCTTTCTTTAATTTTTGCATTATTCTTTTTAATGATTTGCAGGTTTACCTGTTTAGATAAGATTTATTTAATAAATTTGCAATTTTTATTTGACCTTATATGACTTTGGATTATTTTAGACTATCAATTTTGCCACATAGCTCAAGAGATCTAAAAACAGTAATAATGTGGGTGCAGGATGAAGGGTATACAATGCAGTGTGTGTTACTAAGGATTGGGAAAGTGGATCTTTGCACTGGTGTCAAAGGTTTTTTGTTGTTGTTGTTTCTTTCCACACTTGATTACTTGTCCCTTCCATGTAGCTTTCAGATATCCTGTGTCCACTGGCTGCATGAGTGTGTGCCATGGTGTACTGGCCTTAAAAAAAAACAAATTCTATGTCACAAGGCTCATTGTTTTACATCTAAAAAAATGAATTTATATGTTCTCTTACATGTGGTCTATTAGTGACACCTAGTGGTCAAATAGGTAGTAACTGAATTCATTAATTCCAATTTTTTTAAACCAATTTCATGTGAATCTTTATGAGCAAACAAAGTTAACCTCTGTAACCAACAGCACATAAATAAATTCTTTAGTCACAGTTGATTGACATTTTGATTTAACGTTTAACTAACATATGATACTCTACACTGAACCCTTGGGGAGGAGAAGCTAACAGAGCCAGGGGAACATTGTGGGGTTAAGGTTTCTTGCTTAGGAGCACAGAGTCACAGTCTGGGATTTAAAATCCTCTCCAGGATTTAGGAGCCACTCCCTTAAGACTAGACCACCACTCCCCATTATACATATATAATAATTAAACATTCATTCATTATTTCTTTTAGTGTTGTACTAAAGAAACAAAACAGGGATTCATAAAACTGTTAAAATCTAATAAAGCTTGTTTAAAATGAATTAGCACAAACTCAGTTTAAGTGCAGGCTTTTTTCAAAGTGTAGTGTTGTATCATAAGTGCTACACTGATGTCCCCGTGTTGGGAACCTACAGTGTTTACCTTTCTGACTAGAGACACTGGGACTTCTTATCAGCAAGACCCTGACTGTCCAGGGCTGCTGGCGACTGGAGGAGGTCGGCTTGACTTCTTCTTTTCTGCCTGACTAAGCTAAACATAGTTAAGCAGACTGATTTTTTTGTTTTGTTTTGTTTTTACAACATCTTATTACATCACTCACTCTAGTTTTCTCCTGAAATCACTCACTGTATTTCCAATTGCATGTAAAATCTGGATCGGATATTTGAAAGAGGTATTTCTGTTCTGTGTTACATTAGATGAACATAATAAGGCCATTTAATTTTTAAATAATATTCTTTAAACACTTTAGTTTTTCTTAAACAACATAAAAAAACGCACGCTTAAAGGTTCTAATCTTTATTTATTTGCAGTTTTGCTATGCTATGATATTGCCATTTATGTGTCCTGATTATTATTTTCAGCTTTTTTTTTTATCATGTTTTAATTTTCATTCTTTGACAATAATTATTAGTTTATTATCATAATGCCAATTATATAATGATTATGGAAGCTTTTGTTTTTATCTTTCTTCTTCCTTCTATATTTCTATACAGTACATGGAGGCATATTGTGTTGCTTTTTCTTCTATCCTCTGCTTTTTATTTCTATCTTCTAGGCTTATTTTATACTGACAGGTTATGTTGAAGGTAATTCCTGATTCTACAGGTCAGGGAGTAGTCTGTGGGGCTCTTGAAATCAAACCAAAAAATATGTTTCATTCCACCAGTGGGCCCTTAAGTCTTAAGGAGGAGTCAATGGGTTTAAGATAAGGCCAACACCATAAATTCATTATTTAACAAGGGAAGGATTACTGTATGTTTCAAAAAGGGAGACGACTTGCAATAAAGTATCTTTATTTTTCTCTTATATCTTTGTTATAAAAAAGAACCTTTTTCACAAAAATATTTATTAATCTTTACTTATGTAATATTATCATTTAGATCACTTCCTCCTTTAATGCTGCTCCTGATATTTCTTTACATCAGAGAAAAACCAGGGAGTCGTCTTTTCTAGTTCTTCATCTATTCTCTAATTAGTAATAACATATCAATGTATTTGAAAGTAGTGGAAATCTATTCAGGTTGTATCCTGCGTTTTGCCCATGGATTACTAGGATTCAGGAGGCACCAGTCTCCCTGTGACTCTGATGGATAAGCAAAATAAGATAAATGGATGCATGGATTTGATAGGCCAACTTTAATTCTTTGTTTGTTCTTTGATAGGTTTTATATATTTTTATTTTTTTATTACCTATTGGCAATGGCTGAACTACTCTGTGCATTTAACCTCTTTCTTTACCGTTCTTACAATATCACTGCAGTCACTTTTGACAGAACCTGACTAGTGGTCTTTCTCCCAACTATCTTATATAAATATTAACTGTACTGCTAGATCTTTGTTTGTAATTTGCTTTGCAAAGAAGTCTCTGCCAAATGCACAAAACATATAGCCTAATAGAATCTGCACATTTGACCTGATGATGCTTCTGCTTTACATTATTTAAGCTTCTGTGCTGGCTGCCTTTTTGCTCTATTGGCAGGAAAAATATATACTGTTTTATATCATTAATGCAATATGTAAAAAGTTTCACAGAACAGCAGTTTGCAACCCACCTAAACAGTGTTATGGATACTTTGGCAGACAACACCTATAATCAGAAATGTGTTATACAGCAGCATATGACAGTTTTAAACATATTCCAACTGCAAGAACACACTGGGTGCTGCAAAAACCAAAGAGAAGCAAGGAACTATATTTGAACCATCTAGCACCATAGCAGGTTACTTTCCATTGCATCATCCTCACTCCAAAAATCTCCTCTTAACTCAAAAAGCACGAATCGCATTACATTACACAAACACTGTAAGTGCTGTGAGAAGAAAGTAGCTGGAATTGACACATTTAAGACCGCTGCTGTTACGCTGCTCCTTAAATTTGGTCCTTAGCTTTTTAATTATTTTTTGTTAATGGCACAGGTTGGGTTTTTTGGATGGCAGTAACAATTAAAAACGCTTTTTCCTTCAGTAACACAATTCTAACAGATTTACTGTAAGTATTTATTGCCACCTTAAAGCTAGACGAGCTCTAAGAACACTAATTGCAGCAAAAAACTCCATCAATAGTCTACTTGGTGGCTGTCGTTTGTTTCAGGTGTCTGAAGAGTGAACTCTACTGCACAGATCATCATACTTATAGCAGTGCTGCAGGCCATCTGAGGAAGCACGAGGGAACAGAGGACACAGCAGACCAATAATTTTCCACACTCTACTTTAATCCCAGCTGTCTAGTTTATGTACAGTCAACTGTGGGAAAACCAGCATAAAAAGAGAATCCTATAACATACATGGTTATAGTTTATGGCGAACTGTAACTGATAAACCCAGAACCAAAACAAGGAAAATCACTATCACGTGTTAAATAAGTTGAATTTAACATTTTAGCGACATCTTTGGGGAATTTTAGAAAGTAGAGAGATTTCCATTGAAATGTGTAATAGTTTAAAGGACAAGGCTATGTGGCATTACAAAGATATAAACTCATATGTTACAACCAAAAGAATAAACTCACTGTAAAAACTGCAGTTCCCCTGTATTAGCTTGTACATTGTATAACTTTTGTCCCGTTTTAAACAGGTTTGTTTTTTAATATTAATACGTCATGCATAAGTTTAGTTGTGTAAAAAGTATTTACCTCCTGTTACTTTTTGACAAATCTAGATCATTACTAAAAATGTCAATATTCAGCAAAACAAACTGAGCAAATAGAAAATCACTCTTCTTTGCAGAATTGTTTAATGTAGCAATATTCGAGGACTTTGAAATTAAATTGTCAATTTGAGATCAAAGCATGGCTTTTAAATTGTGTCGGAGTTTTAAGGCTTTGATTAGGTCACTTTGAATAGGTCAAAATAACCATCATTTATTAGAAGTAACAGCGTAGATGTAAAGATATATCTGCTGAGACTAATTGTTTTATTAGTGGATGATACACATCGAGCTTAGCACAGTCAGGTTAGAGCTTTCTGTGGCTTCCTGAATGAGTTGCTGATAAGATTTGTAGGGAATTTTGGGTAGAACTTTGTAACCATTCCCACACTGACAGAAACAAAGAACTTTAGTCTTGACCTGATCTTGGATTTCTTTAAATCAAAGGAACATGTGTTGGTTCCTGATATTTTTTGCCTGCTTCCTGTTGTTAGGCAGGTTCTACTAAAGGGATTTCTTGATAATATAGATGTGCATCTTTTAGATAAAAAAAATAAATAAATTGGCTCGATACACTTTACTTAGGAAGGTAGGCATTCATTTTTGCAAATAATGTTTGAATTGATTTGAATAACTTCTTTTCCCTTTATAAAAAATCGGCAGTCAAAATAAAATTTGGATTAACTTTAATCTTTGTGTAATCTTAGCATATGTTTGATAAACAGAAACATTTAGATACAAAAGAAAAACAGAGGAAACCCGAAAATAGCTACTTTTATTTTTCAAATCTTTGCAACTCAAGCATTTATAAATAAATGAATTAAGTCAAATTAGGAGGTGGGCTCTCAATGTGGAGACAATTACAGCAGCTTTTTCTTGATGTGGGACATTTTCCACACTGAACAAATGCACTCAAGTCAAATATTGGATTTGGATTTTTGTTTGAGACAATGCTACTGCAATAAAGAATATAGCGACTAAGAGGTTTTTAGCAGGTTGTAATGGGGTTGCAAATTCATGTGCAAAAGGCTTTTAGTTTCTTAACAGCAGTAAGGATTCAAATCTATACAAATCCTTCAGCTATTACTCTTGTTACTGTATTTATTTCCGAATTTTGATGGACCTGGGTTAAGCGTTTACAGTTCGCCATGATTCAGAATACAAAGCTCACACACACACGCTCACCCAAACACACACTTTTATACACCTTTCTAACTTGGACGGTTTGTTTGATTGTGAACAAAATGCAGTAATTGATATTTATCACACAGTTTCGGTTGCTTTTAAATAAAACTACCAAAGGCTAACAAAGAAATAAACTGTTATTAGTTAAAAAATAAAAATCCAATTTTGAATAATAAAAAATTAATCATAACAGGCCATTTTTCAGTTAAATGTCTTGATGATACTGGTATAAAAATGAGTTCTGCTGTTTGTTTTTTATTTTTCTCCAACTCTCCATTTATATACTTTGAACAGTTAGAAGAAATAAAACCTAGTTTTCCCACTTATACACAACATCATACATTAATAGGCAACTAGAAAAAACAGTAAACACTGTCACATGTGAATAAAAAAACTTCTAGAAGATCAAAGTTACATTTGATAATTTTTACATCGCGGTACCTACGTTCTCCTAAACTTTGCAGACTCTTATTTATAGAAAACAACAAAAAAGCACAAAGTTCACATTTAGGCTCTTCAAAAAGAGCCGAGGAGCATCAAACAAACAATAGCTCCCTCCCTCTTTTTTCTTCTGCATTTTTTCTTATTACGAAGCTAGTTAATCACACGAGGCATGAGATTAAATATGCAACAGTTTGGAAACACCTCATGCAAACACACAAAATGTCGTCTCTGTCCTCAAGATGGAGCGACTCAGAAAGTAGACCACAAGGTTTTGTTACAAAACAGGTAAAATGCTGAGGAGAACTGCAGACTGAGCCAGTGCAGCACAGGAACCGGGGAAGCAGTCCTTTCTGGATGTCTTCAGCAAAAGGCCTCAAACTTTTGGTCCAGTTTATCAAAAAAATTGTAGACTTTAGCTGTGTTTTTTTTTTCAACAGGATTAGAAGGCAAAACAAAAATCTGGTATGTCTGTATTTTCTTTTTTTGCAACTTCACTTTTTTCTAACATGGAAACTATGAAAATGAATCGCAGACCTGTATTTGGTCCCAGCCTGTGGCTCATGATCGGAATCAGTTGGCACTTTCATCTTGAAACTTTTGAGCTGTGAGTTGACAGAAGGAGTTGCTACGCCTCCCGCCTATTTGAAAGGGGGTAAATATAGCCTGCCCAGGATTCAGCCCCTGCTGCTTTTCAAAAGTCATGTTTTCTCCAGTTATCAAATGAGGCATATGAAATAAAAATGTATGTTTGCCAAGTGCTTCTACAGATTCAGTAAAAGTAGAGACTACAGCTGGGTGTGATTGTCTTTTCTATTGGGGATGTGTACAGTAAGCATCAGTTGAAACAAAGGAAAGCTGCTTTGAGCAATTCCTGTTTGCCGGTTGACTGGGTTTTAATAAATCCGGAATGTAATTTGCAATTAAAAATACACTGTCTTGCAAAAAGTGAACTTTCAAACATGTTTCATGACACAGCCAACAGAATATTTAATATAAATTTCCCGTGATAGACCAACACAAAGGAGAACTGTGAATGGAAGAAACCAATTTGGGGGAGGTACAGACAAGAAAAACAAACTGCACTTTTAAGATTTCGTAAATACGCCTTTTTCCTTCCTTTCTCGGCTTTGGACTATTTTGTGCTCATCTGTCACGTAAAACAATAATGAAACTCATATTAACGTGTATTATTAATACTTTTGCAAGGGACTGTAGGTATGATATACTTCTGTCTTGAGTGGAAGACAAAATATTTAAGCAGGACTGCAAGATGAGCCTCTGTTGTCTGAAAATACTGCTGTTAAAAAGTGACCCTTTGTCCACCCCTGTCTGTCAAGTAGACAGCATTACCTTTGTAAACATCGTTAAGATTCACATTAGTAAGAAGGACCTGTGTACGTGTGCATGCATGTTATCTTGTCTCCATGCATCTGTAAGCTGAGAGCCTGTAAGTCATCGCATCACACTGTTAGTTGACATTCATAAAATACCGGTAAGGAGCAAGCCCAGACTTCCTTCGAGCATTCACTTTTCCATGTCATGACAAGATTCCCGGTTGCAGCAGGAAAACTAGATTTTAGAAAAGAAATGTCCGACATTCCTTGATCGGTAGTCACCATTGCAGGGTCCAGGTTGGAAGTCTGTTACGCAAACCGTCAGGCACCAAGAGCAGAAAAAAAAGCTCCCTTAGACTTCAGGAGTTTCTTTTTTTTTTTTTTTTTCTTTTTTGTAGTTTCACTTCGAAGTCTTTGGTCAGAAATATCTGCTTGACAGTCATCATGTAAATCTTAAACCAGAGGATTTCATTACTGTATCTTGAAGGTATTGGATTCAGTTTCAGCAGGATTTAAAATTCTTTCACAAAGCCTGAGAAAAAGCCAGTCTTAATCCGACCTCTTGGTGTTTTCTAACAACAAAACATCCACTCACAAAAAACTAAAAAAACTATTATAATATTGGCTCCTGACTGGGCTTCAAAAACATGAAATCAGTGTGGCTGAGAGATGCTGCAGTTATCACGGTTGGCCACATGATGTCAGCATTTCCCAAGGGACTCCATCAATGGACAGAGCCAAAGGATGTCATCTGATTGAGGATTTCAGAGTATTTGGAGCTAGAAATGAAGGGTGTGATCTATCCTCTGTCTACATGACTGTCTCTCTTAGAGGAGTGTTGGAGTGGTAAACGCAGTGATCGTTGGTAAGGCTGATCCTCTGAAGTGGCTTCTGGTTTTACTTTGACCTACAGAAAAGAGAAGAGAAGACAGATTTACTGTAATGCAAAGTTATAGATAAAACGTATTCACTTCAACAGTGGTCAGTATAAACAAGATATCATCAAACGCTGAGAACTTTTAAGCCTGCAAAGCAGAAAAAAGCAGCATAATTGCAAAGATAGAAGGCTAACGGGTTTATGATGAGATGCAATACAACTCATTTAGCTCAGTATTATCCTTGAGTTAGTAATTTGCTCTGACAAATAAGCTTAACAACATAATGTGGCTTGAAGGGAACATTAGAATCACTTGTGTCCCCTGTGTTCTGTGGGAGATAATAACACTCTAGAGGTCTTAACAATCTCATGGGTGCAGCGGATCTCTCAAGTGATTCCCATTTAAAATTAAGCATACATCAGAGAACATGCAGAATCACAGAGAGAGAGAGAGCTGCTCGAGTTTTTCCTGACTGCAGTTTGCATGTTTTTATAATAAGTGTCCACAGCCTCAAAGGAGGAAGTACTATAAGAAAACCTACCCTGAAATTACCACAAAACAAATTCACAATAGAGCTTATTTTCTTTAAATGGAAAAACAGACAGTACATTTTTCAGGATTTAACTTGATAGAACATTACAAACAAAATACATATTTGTAATGGAGAAAATAAATAATACATGGGTTTTCTAACTTTAAACTGAGGCTTCTCTGCCTCTGCTGATGAAATCCATTCCACAACATGATGTAGCAACCAGTGTTTGATAGTGTGCATGTTGTTTGGAGTCTAAAGAACTAGAGTGTAAACAACTAAACAGTATTTTGCATATAAAACGTTTTGTTTTCGGCTCATCCGACCAGACCACCTGCTAGTAAACTTAAAATGTAACTTCTTATGGATTTCTTACTTAATGAAACTTCCTCCCTCCATTAAGGCCAGTTAGCAGCCTAATTAGCTGTCCTGTTGACTGATTTTTAAGCCTCCAGAGTTACCATGGGCTTCCTGGTTGCAACTGACTAATGCACTTCTTTCCTTCATTGAATTCCCCAGAGTTTAGCTGGGTCGCCATGTTTTAGCAGATCTGCTGTCATGCCATGGTTTTTCCTTTTTCTGATGGATTTAGCTGCTATCATCGAAATGCTCACAATATTGTTTCAGTTTGAAACCTACAGCAATCAGTTACATGGACTCCACATCGGAGTAAGGGAAAATTCATGTAAAGCTAGCCACATTTTAAGTAAAAAAACACACAAAAAAACAAACAAACAAGGAATTTATTAGATTTTTTTTAAAAGTATATAATACTTTAGATAGCTATATATTATTGAGTTTTTATTAACACGTCATTAGCTACATGTGTTTATCTTCTCAGCTGATGGCTGACTGTGTGATATTTTTAAAGTATTATCACAAATAGCCTCTTAGGATACTTGTTGGTATCCATCCATCCACTCCCCCTTATTCCGTCAAGGAATGGGCATAAGGTAGGTTACAGTACACCCTGGAAAGCTCTCTAGTCTGAAAAACAACCCTCCAAACATACCCTCACACCTAAGGACAATTTAGAGATGCCAATTAACCTAACAGTCATGTTTTGGACTGTGGGAGGAAGCCAGAGTACTCCATGCAGAAAGACCCCGGGGACAAGAATTGAAACGGGAACCTCCATGCTGCAAGGTAACAGTGCTGCACCCATGCAAAGTTAAAAACAAACATTTAGCCAAAGTATAGGTCAAAACCCTAACCCTATCTTTCTTCGCTGTAACTGTACATTCATTTATGCTTATTAACTTTGAAACAAATTTTCATGAATGCTAACAAAGGCTGAACACAGTAGCTCAATATTCATAGTTGAAATCCTACTAAATGGTAGCACTAGTTTCAGAGTAAATAAAAACATCAATTGCTCCTGAATTGCAGTTGTAGTTACATTTACATTTCAGCAGATGGCATAGTTCGACATTTTTAAAGGATACATTCTGGGCATATGAGAAACAGAGGGCTACAGATTTATTTTAATACACCACAAAAATGTTTTTAGCACTATACAGATATTTGATTTTAAAAATAAATTCCATGCCTAATGCTGAATGGAACATGCACTGAACAGATCATACCAAATAACTTATATTGCTTTTCTATCCATGTTGAAAACCCAGATTTGGATGTCCATGTACTGGTACATTGTCTCAGATTTTGAAATGTGAAAGAGGAAGAGCTGGAAGAAAACTTGGAACCTTTGGTTTCCAAGATGACAGCTCCCTTTCGGAGTGTTGTTCAACAGATCATACCAAATAACTTAAAAACAAAACAAAGCATTTTATTTTAGAGAAGCAGCATTACTGTCAAACAATGAATTGCAGAGCCTTGACAGAAAAATCCACAAATAAATCATACAGGGGCAGATGTGGACCAAATTTACCAAAAAAATAAACTTAATATGACTGAAGCTAAAAAAAATTGATTCTAAAACATTATTAAAATAATACCCTAAGAATCAAACATTAAATTAGTCCAAGGCACCAATCATTTGTAGTTTCTGTTCCAGTGTGTATTATTTACTTATGATAAATCTAGTCTTTTTTATATCGTTGGTATATGGGTCATGACAGGGACCAGTACCAGTTCTACAGGGGCACTGGCCCCTGCTGGCCCCTGTCCTAAACTGTACATGAAATCATATAAAAATAAATGTGGCCCAGAAATACTGCTGCAAAAAAAAAAAAAAAAAAAAAATATATATATATATATAAAACAAACTATTTAAACAAAGCTTATGGTTAAGTGGGTCTCTCTAAATTTAACATAAAATAATATTCCATGGCTACTGCGGTCTCAGAATTATTCAACCCCTTCATGACAAGCATATTTAGCAATTTGTGGAACAGCCTTCAGCTGTTCTAACCTGCTGCAAACATGAATTATAGCCAGAGACAAGGTTCTGGCCGTCATCCTGAGGAATTTTAACCTACTTTTATGGTGAAGTCCTCCAGGGTGTTCATTTTCTTGGGTTTGCATTCAGCTGCCATCTATTTTAAATCCCAACAAGGACTTTCAATATAGTTCAATACTATTATATAGTCACTATTTCTTCCTCTACTTCTTCTAAAACCAAGCCACGGTGGACTTTGAATATAGTTCAAAACCAAGCCACGGTGGACTTTGTGGTATGGCTGACGTCCCTGTCCAGGCTTCTTATTTCAAGCCCACCATATTTAAATAATGAGGCCATTGAATGGTTGCATCAGGAGTTTGTGCAAACCTAAACTGCAAAGAGGATTGAATTATTTATAGGTGTAACTGTAGGTGTCATGTGTTTTTTTTCCTCATCTTATGTTACAGTGGCTAACAAGCAGGTAATGTCAGCCATTTGAATAAAATGATATTTCTTTAGAGATGCTGACTGTTGTGTTATTAGCTTAATGTGTCATGGTTGTGTGTCTGTGTGGATCTGCAGCACAGAGCGATACCTTTGGGATGGGACGGTTGATGCTATTTTATTGCTCCCTCTGGCCAGAGGCAATAAACAGCAAACAGAGGGGAGGACGGCTGGAGAACAATGTTAGCATATTGATGATGCTCGTGGATGAGAGCGCGCGTCTAAGGGTTTGTGCACGTGGATTAACATGTTTATAAGCAAAAGCTGTCTATCAGCACAAATACTGTCTGGATGTCTGTGTGCGCAGTGATGAGTGTGTGCACAATGTTTGTGCATAGATATTTGTATTTGAAGCTCAGCTGGGTTGTGTTTGTGTTCGAAGCCATTATTTAGAGGCCTGGTGATTTATGATCTGGGTTATGGTTTCCACAGGGGATATATAAAACTACAGAATAGTCCTTTATTGCTTTCTTCTTTGTTTAGTCCAACGTATCATCCATCACTCCGTTTCTCTGGTCCTCTTCTCCTCTTTTGCTTCATCCACCCTGCACTCTACGCCTCTTCATCTGCCTCTGATTTGCTCTAGTCCTTGCTTAATACAAACTGGTATTGATAATCTGCCTGCTGCATATCAGCCAAATCACCACTATTTCATCACCTTGTTTGGTACAATGCAGTAGCTTTATCTGTATGGCTCAGAGCTTCCTGTAAGGCACCTAGACTTTGAGATTGATGTCGACTTTGTGCCATTTTTGAAACATCCTTTTGGCTCTCAGTCCAATAAATGGTGAAAGGACCTTAAGGAAACTTAAAGCAACTCTTGAAATTTCAAATAAGCACACATCTGCTGCAACAAAGTTGACCTCATAGAAATACATTTATCCTCCTTCCTGCCTCAATGGGTGCAGACGTAAAGATCTAATTATGAAAAGTAGCTTCAGAAAAAAATAATTAAGGATTTGGTGTTTTTAATTAAACCTGCCAGCTTCATTTAAAGTGACTGTGTGAAGTGATGAAAGCAATGACCATGATCTGTTTCCCTCCTACACTCATACTAGGGCAATAGGTTTTTGTTACATTATATACAGCTTAGATGAACAAAGATCAACTGAATAGGTGACTCATAGCAGAAGTACAATTCTTAATTTGTTATAGTCAAAGCAAACTGAATCAAAAACTGAAACTAAATGGAACCAAATCCATGTCATAATCATATCGATAATTAGGGGTTAAAAGTTATCTCTATCTGCTCTGACCAAACTTCTTTAGAAGACCAACTAATCAAGATAATACCTGGAAAGACTTGCAGATGGAATTGTTGTGAAAAGTTTTTCAGGTCTATTTCAATTGAAAAGTCAACATTTACATCTGTATTTTACTTTAAAATAATTTCCATAAAAATAAAGAAAATGCACTGGTGTTTCTGGTTGTAACTTGATGCAATTTAGATCCAATTCAGAAAGGCCCAAAAGGATAAACTACTCACACATACTGGCTTCATATTAGATGCTTTATAGTGAAAATGAATTATTTTCAAACTGATATCTATGAGCAATAACCATAAGAATCTTTTTAGAGATTTTGATTTCTGATTGCCAGACATGGAGACTGCAATGTCTGGCATTGTTCCAGTAAACGTTGGAGTTTGTTGGATTTAATTCTATGTAATCTGAAAGCTTTTCGTGTTTCTATGCAGTCTCTGATATGGCATGGTGGATAGTTCTGCAGCGGGTGGCCTCTATAATAGAGAGCTGTTGCTACGGCCATATGCTTTCTACTGAAGTAGTCTTTATGCGGGTGGTATTTATCAAAACAACATCCAAATGAATGCAGACATTCAAGGTCTTACAGAAGAACTTTGTACTGAAGCAAGAAAATCAATGTTATACACTTTACCAGTTGGTGGTTTTATTGATGTAGCTGACCGGTGCATGATATTTTCCTCCCCCTCTGTATGGGTGTAATATTTTAGAGCCAAATGTAACAAAAATGACGGCGAGCAAGCAGAACCCAATCTTACTCACATGTACATAGGCTGTAGCTGAAGGTGGGAGGTCTTCTGGGGTCCCTGGTAACCATAAGAGTCAAATCCTCCTATAAAATCAACTGCAGAGACACAAAAAAACCACAAACAATGTTAGTTAGAGATTTTATGTTGGCCTACAATGGATGAATCATTTTTTAAGCTTCACACACCCACAGAAGTGTTGTCGGTACATCTTGTACCCTTTTAAATGCCTCCCAGAGAAAATTTGGCTTCACATGAATGAAAACACTTTGATGCAAATCTAATTCCTTTTTTAAGAGGAAGAGTGAAAATTATGGAGCAATATATTTATACCCAGGGAGTGCATTTAACTCCTAAATTAACCAGGATTGCTCCACAGACTCCTGAGCAGAGCAGCTGCCAGCAGGTGGGTCCTCTCTTCAGTCTAAAGCGAAGAGTCCAGACTTTTGAAAAGAGGAAGCGGTTTTTTTCTTTTCTCGCTTTTTCTTTGAAGTTGTAGAGCTCCATAAAAGAGTAGTTTCATGTCTTGATCAGTGGGGCACTTTCTCATTTATTCAGCAAGGTTTCGTAACATCAAGTACAATATGAATTTGCATGTCAGTGCGGAGATGAAAAGTAGGTGTCATTTTTTCATCAATCTGCACTAAAACCGGAAAATAAGCCTCAAAATGGAGGATGAGGCAAGAAAGAGGCACAGAGAGGCGCTTTCATTCCAGAAACAAGCATGAATGGCAATGTTGGAAGGAGTGTGCTACCGAATGTTGAGATAAATAAACCTCATTGCAGCGGATTATTGTTGCTATTTATCGAGTTCAGTCTTTTACACAAAAATGTATGCTATCTTCCCAATTTATCAGTAAGAAGAGTAATATTTAAATCATTCATACACATGGAAGTGTTTCTGATCGAAAGTGAGAAAAAGATCTCTCAGAGAATTTTTTCAACATTTTTTTTTTAAATAATTACACCTGAAAAATTATACTCTTTCATAATTAATCAGTTTAAATCTTTCTTATAATTTGTCTAAAGCCCTTGTATGTTTTCACTGTTAGTGTGTTGACATAACTTTGGTGCTAACATCAATCATCACTATAGTATTTGTTTCTCCATAAGAGTAAAGGAACCTAGCTAAAAATACTTTCTGCATGAAGAAAAATGCTGGTAAAATTAAAACTTTAAACCTGTCGGGAGAATGAATACTTCTGGACGCATATGTCTGTAATACGGCTTACAGAATAAGGCAGACTTGTGAAAGCCAAGTGGCAAAGTTGATTTTCCCAACATTAAAAGTGTTTTCTAGTTGTTGTTTTTTTTTTAAGACACAGAGAAAGAAAGCAAACCTTATAAAGGTGGAGATAACTAAAGCCCACAGAAAGATTATATATGAGGCTGAACTACAGCATGTGCTGACTGATTCAAGTATGTCCTTTAACTCACTGAGTTCAAGGCCTAATTATTTCTCATTATTAATAACTGACTGAAGCAGGGAGCTTTTACCTGCAAGGAAAAACAGGATTACATTTACAGCAGTCATTGAACTAATCAATACCAGTACGTCTGTACAAATCAGTAGACAACAGTGAAAATCCAGGGAAAGTTCTAGATTAATGCAGGTTAGATAAAGATTTGTTGAATCAACATCTTTACCAATTCCAAGATCATTGTGCATTACAAGTTGTTAATATTTTTCACATTTTTTCCCCGATATCGGGGATGATCTTGGCACTAATGGCTGGCTTAATTACTAACTCCATTCACCTGTCAACCTCTGCCTGGTTTCTCATCATTGCTCGTCTGATAAACTTGCTCCTGCCTCTATTTAAGGTGCTTGCATCCAGTTATCAAGGTTAGATTATTCTTTTTCTCTCTAGCCAGTGGTGAGAGTGTTTTTAGGGTTCCTTAGTGTTTCTGATGTTCTGATCCTGACCTGTTCTGCCACTCAACCTCTGAGCCTGCCTGTTCCTGTTCTGATCCGTTTGTCTGACCTGGCTTCGGACTCCTGCATGTTCTCTGGGGCTGCTGCATCTGCAGCACCCTGAGCGGTGCCTGCCGCATCTCGTTGGAAGCCCACAGGATGGATCGTACCTTGTTCTCTGGGCACAGATTGAACTGTTTAACCAGGTTAGTGACTGAAGTTTATAATCTTCCACTGTTAGATATACATGGTCACTAACCTGTGTTTTCCCTCTCCTGAGTTTTCCTGCCTCAGACCCTAGCTGCTGCTACTGCAGCTCTGCAGCCTGTTTATCTGAATAAACGCTTTTTGAGTAATCCCACTGTCTGTGTTGCCTCAATACTATGTCCTCTGTTCTGAGCCTTGACAATGTCAGTAGCAAAGCTGTAAACGGACCCAGGAACAACTGAGGCTCTGGTCTACCATGAAACAACTGGAACACTAAGGTCAGGGTACATTGTGTTGGCCTAAAACTGTCATCCAGCTGCATAGCAGCTGATTGGATTAAGTAATCAGTTACCAAGACATGTGCCACTTGGAAGCAGCAACAGTGCAATCAGTCTAAGCACACATCAGAAGTGGTTTTGGAATGGATGAAACAGGATAAAACTGAGCTAACACAAATTAATTTCCCAAAGCTCTTGCTTTAACTCTGTCACAGGTTTGTGCTTCACATTTTAAAGCAGTCTGTAGAAAAAAAACAACCTTTATTTAAAACTAGTATAATGAAAAGAGAGGTCAAATCTCCTGCAGGATAAATGGCAGAAGATTGCTGATGTTTATAAAAGACATACAGCTCGCTAGCAGACATTTAACCAAATATAGACAGGCTAATATGAAGACTGTGTGTTTAAGCATTAAAAAATACTATAAATTTGGGATTTCTTGATCAAAAGCTCAAAAAGAAAATCACCATTTAACTATTTTGCGTTAACAAACCATCATATGAGGAAAAACTACACATATCTATATTTACTGTAAGTGTTTGTCAGAGATTCTTTATCAATTAAACACTTCATAACTTGAGTTTCCAACTTTAATACCTAATAGTATTGTGTAATGTGTTGTGTAATGTGTTTTTACTTGTTTAAGTGTTGTTTTATTTTTCATTTGTAAACTTGATTTCATTGTCTTGCACAACAGCAACATTCAGGTTAACTTTATCCCTATTTTAACATCTATAGCTGGAGCTAATTGAGACTGACCTGTTGAATGATGCGAATCCTTTAACCTTGCTTAATTCCTTGTTTTTCTGGAGAAGCTTGGGTGTAGAGGGTAAGACTTTCCTGCTGATTCATACTGCAGTCAAATTGTCTGCAGAGTTTCATCCTCTAAACATTAGAGGAAATGGAGCCTCTAAACCTGTCAGTGCGCTGCCTGTCAATCTTTTAAGACCCAATTTAAGCTTCAGATAAGCTATTCATATGGGTCTGGATTGCCCCATTCTCCCTAGAATCTGAGAAAATTGGATGGGAGCTGCAAAAAGATTAAGATTTCCATTAAAAAAATAAAATAAAATAGCTATCCTCATTAAATTTTCTGTGTTTTCTTAACACCAAAGTGTTCTATATTACTCTGTTCACACAGACTGATGTTTTGAATATAACCTTAATTACCTGTGCTGTTTTGTTTACTTCTGTGTTTGATAGAAATCTTCAGAGGAGCGATAGGACTTGCTGTAATGAATAGTATTGCACACTTTTACCTGCACACATCCATACACAGACATACAATAATTATCAGAGTAATTAACTTTCTCAGCAAATTAAAGCCTTCATCTGTCCTTAGTGAGTATTAGCTTCTTCACCCAAGGCACATTTACCCACAAAGCCTGCTGATTAGTGTTTATTCTTCCACACCGCATTATCACGGCGCTTTTTCACCAGCTGCATTCCACCAGCCGTGCAAGACTTCAGGCTCAGCAACAAGGAGATTACCACGGATATCAAAATCATTCTGGAGAAATTTATGTGTTACAAGCAAGTGATGATTGTGATACTTTTTAATTCTTACTAAGCCTTAATTACAATTTATTTCAGCATCAATGATGAGCAATTAGGAGTTTTTTCATGTCCTAAACTGCCCATTGTTACAATACAGGATCCAAAAACATATCATTCGAAGACAATCTAATCATAAAGCTGCATTATATGAGATTCTGCAAAACCAAGGCTATTGAAAATACGATTTTATGATGCTATAATATGTTTACTTAACTGTATTTAAGAAGTAGTGACCAATCAATTGCCTGCAGACCTCAGCAATGTGTATCAAGCATTGTTATGATTGACACCTGGAAGTAGAAACTTGATGGATAGATAAATATTTTACTACTTGATTGCAGACTGCAGTAAAATAAAATTGATATTGATCATTATTTCAAGTTTTTTAGCCAACACTGAATTTAAAAAGATGCAAATTTTAAACAGCCTTACTTCCAAACCACTAAACAGTGAAATGTTCACTTTTAATTCAGACACTTCCCTCAAACGGTCTTATCAGCGGTTGATTTTGGGCCGTAAAAGATTCTCTTTAGGGATGCAAAACAAGCAGATATGTGGGACTGATAGCTAGGGGGCAAAACATAACAATTAAGGAAAGGCCAAACACAACAATTGTTAGATATGAATTATTTAGACATGTAGACAAAAGCTAATGTGGCATTTTTGGTATATTGCCATCAACTAGCTTATTAAAATCCAGGGTTACAAAACCTTTATCTCAAAACTCCCACTGAAATTCAATTACTCACTAATAAAATGGGATGGTAACAGTGATAAATTGCAACTGTTTTTCTAACTTTAACAATATGACAGTGTAAAATATTCCTGCAACCTCATTAAGCAAGTCTGGGTGCATAAAGAGCCTTTCAGCACTGACCTTTAGTTTTTATTTTCCCTTTAAAGGGACAGAAATAATTTCATCCCATCGTTCTCAGCGCCGAATCAGCAATAAGCATGGAGGGAAAAACCCGTCTGCTCTCTACACCTCTCCACACCAATCCATTCCCGCTCATCCCATCTGCATGCATTACCTATCAATATTTATACGCTGGCAAACAGCATCCTCTGCTCGGTGTTGAATAAGACATGGACGGGTATTGATCTAGCGGAAGAGCAGCACCACCAACTTTAACTGAATAAAGGAAATGATGGCCTCAGGTTAATGGGATCATTCATGTTAATGCAGACATATACACATTGCATTCTAAATAGAAAAATAAAAGAACTGACACTAAGCATTGAGTCATTTTACCCCTTTTTAACTGTTTTAAATGGAGCTATTGCTAATAAAAAAACAAACTGGTGGCAACTGGCTCTGCCCTAACCCCTAATAAATTGCATATGCTATATTGCTGTACATGTACAATGAAGCGGTTATCATTTTCACTTCTCCTCTTTCACTTAAAATGGTTCAACATGTTAGATGATAATAATAACTGAATATTACTGATCTCACAATGGAGAAATTCACTTCTGCATCTTAACCCATCCCCTTAAGGAGCAGTGGGCCGCCATTGTGCGATGCCTAGGGAGCAATCGGGGGGTTAAGGGTCTTGCTCAAGGACCCAGAGTGCAGGCTGTGGGTACTGAACTGGGTAACTGCTACCTTCTTAGAGTACAAATGCACAGCTCTAACCACTAGGCTACCACTCCCTTAAATAGGGAGAGACAGCACCTGTTTCTGCCTGTTACTTTAAAAGTTTCCCTTCTGACATTTGTTAAAAAAAACACCTGTGTATCTGTTTAAACCATCTACCTTGTTTAAGAATGACGAGGAAAGTAAAGCTGATTTACAAGGAAAAGAAGGGCAATCTATTAGATCTAAAACCACTCAAAGCTCTTACTTTGCCACACATGAACATTTATTAAACACCATTAAAAGGGGTACTTAGTAACTGACTAATCTGCCAAGTTTTAGATTTGCAGCCATAATGAAATGGTTGAGCCAACAGCTGACATTTGAAGAGGTTTTGATGCTCAAATCCATTTGAGAAACAAAACACTCTGATGTAAGAATTTGGATCGACTTTGTTTATTTACTGACCTGTTAACTAACTTTTCTGGCATTCAACCACGTAGCTAAATTGTGCACACCAAAGCTCGAGTCATACTGCTACTTACATCACAAGGAAAAAGCCTCAGTTGAACTTTCTGCCTCCAGATTCACTGACTGGGATAATTACATCAAAAGACTTTCGACATTTTAGAGCAAAAAGTGTCGGAAAACAAGTTATGAGACAAAGGTTTTGGATCCTTCAGCAGAACTGTTGAAAAAAAGGTCACCTGTCTAAAAAGAAGACATCAGATTGTAATGTGCTGTTTGATTGTGACCTACCCTTTCCAGGAATCAGGGATAATTCATAGTTGTGAGCCACTAATGCAGTTACTGTAGATGTCACATCTGTTTAAAATGTCCTGTACCCTCACACATTAGGAAAAAGCTTGCTGTTTGGCAATAAACTCCCTACACCTTTATTTTTTATTTAGAAAACATCCATTAGATTCAATGTTTTTTTGCCAGCAGGGTTTGATTGTCAAGATTTGCAGAAATAAACAACACATTTTATTTTATCTGCTGTTAAATTTAAGTGGGTGGAAAGCATGTTTGAAAGGAAAAATATTCTAATTTGGAAACCTTGGTGTTAAGGCGCGCAATATCTTCTAGACTTTAAAAAAGGAACAGTGCTGCGTCTAATTTTATGTATCGTGATCTAATGTAAAATTTATCATCCTTTCAAAATTCTCCCACAAAAATGATCCTTACTGGAAGAATGTTTTCGTGAAACAAATCTTGAATTATTCTGAGGGTTTTCACCTTAATTTGAACACTATGTAGAGAAACAAAAAGCGTATTGGTGTTAAGGTGGCACAAAGAGCACTTAGTTTAGTCTTTGATTGTTTGTAAAATCAAACAAAAAAGGTTTGTTACTTTCAGTTTTTAAAAATTGTGGTACCTCTTATGAAAGGGTTTACCAAGTACAGTGACAAAGCTAATATGCTATAAAACAAGGCAACCTTTCAGCTTATAGCATCAGTAATAACCACAGAGTTTCAGTTAAACTGTTGCTTCATATGCTGGCTGAGAAAGCTATTTTAGGCTCAATTTATAAACCAATAACACCTTTTATTTATTATCAGGAGTTACTGTATTGGGCTCAAATGGTCAAATTCTCTTTGAATACATGAAAACTCAATGAACCAATTGTTATAATATTCACAAAATAGTGTAATTAATAGATTTGTTATATTATAAGACATATTAACTCCCTTTAAGAAGCCCTTATGCTTAGATCTTATTGTTTCTTTGCATATTTTCTTAAAGTTGCTAGGAGTGACAGTTCCAAATCTCCACTATAACATGTCTGATCATTTCAATAACTTACCTACTCATCTATATCTGTTAGAATTGATTGATCATTGGCTTGGCAGGTCTCTGAAATGTCGCTATCTCTTCAGCAATAAGTTGCAAGAAGTTGTTAGATGATGTCATCTGGGTATTTGGTAATGATATGACCCAGCCGTAGGAGAGAGGCATATCAACGCTGACAAGGCAGTCGTTAAAGATACTCTAAATACATTTAAAATAAAATAAAAAAACTGTTCAAATTAAACTTAAGTATTCATGAATATCTTATCTGAACTAAAAAAATACATTGATAAATCTTATTTTATCACGTTTAACTTAAAGACATGGACATGTACAGCATCCGGACGTGTATGAATTAAATGGAGGGATGGCTGATCCTATTTCATTGCTCTTGTCCACTGCTTTGCCTCTTAAATACGGGGTACCTCAAGGCTCCATTTAAAGTCTTATTGTATTCTTGCTTTTCCAGAAATAAAATTTGACCATTTTGATATTAATGAAATTCAGGTTTATTTTTTTCATTTAAAATCCAGTGAATCTCAGTCTGCAAATCCGCTGTTAAAATGTTTGATGGTCATGAGACCATGGATGGAGCTTAATTTATCTAAATGATGAAAAGACGGAGGTCATTTTATTCAGTAAATCCAGCATTGCGATAGGATGCAGTGATGCTTTTGGGCTACTAAGCTCTTCTGCTGCGTGTTTGCCAGGAATCTTGGGTTGAGAAGGTTATTCACGCTCTTAATACTTCATGCTAGACTACTCAAGCTACCTCTATGGTGGGACTGACCAATCTCTTCTTTGCTGTTGTTGGTTCAGAATTCAACTGCTCCTCTGCTAACAGGGTCAAGATGACATAATCACATCACCCCCATTTTGTATTCCCTCCCTTGGATTTCTGTTTCTTTCAGGTTTTTAGATTTAGTTTATGAATGTCTCAATGGCCTGGCAGACCTTTACGTCAAACAGCTTTCAAAGCCATTTTACTATCTTTTACATTGATTTTTAAGTCTCTTTTTAAGAGTATTGTTTAAAACGGGTTTTCAATTCCAGAGAGCACAACCATTAGGCCACACTGCAAAAAACAAAAGTGCATTTTGTCTTGAATTGAGGATGTAAGTGGTACACTTTGCCAATGGAACAAGAAAATTTACATTTAAAATAAGAAAAAGCAACTGTATTGTCTTATTACAAGTGCATATTACGTATCTAATTATCGCATTTTAAGAGTAAAAATACTTATCCTATTGGCTAATCATCTCATTAACTTACTAAAATTAAGGGTAAATACACTAATTTAAGAAATGTTTACTTATTTCTAGATAATTTTTGCAGTGCAGGATTTGTTTCTTTACTTTTTATTGCTTATACAATCAATGCTTTTCTCTTTTTATTATTTTTATTTTCATCCCCCATTTAGATCACCTGTTTTTTAAGTGCTTTATAAATAAATGTAGGATGTGTATTAGGCTATATAGCAAAAAGATTTTACATTTTATCAATGCCACACTGAAAAATATAAAAACCGAAACATACCAAGTTCACCTTAATCTAAATGTTACATTAAATATCATAAAAAAATTAGTTAAAGATGATAACATTAAATTTCCTGTCTCAACGTGACTATTTGACATGTGATCACTGATCTTGCCTTATTTTAAATCACATAGATGGCTTCCTGGAGTGCTTGCCACTTGAACTATGGGAAAAGAGTAACCCTGTAGTGGCAGTGTCATGTTCTGCAGAGAAACCTTGGATCCTGCCATCCATGTGGATCCTACACATTATGAGAGTGGATTCTTTAAGAAGTTCGGCCACAAGGTTAAAAATAGCTCATTGGTGGTATGAAAAACACAGCCTTTGTGATGTTTTGGACTAACTTTGTAACTTACACAACTTAAAGGATCTGCTGCTTAATGCCTTGTGCAAGACACCAGAGCACACAAAGGGGTCCAAGAAGTCTTGTTTTAGGAGGGATCGGCTCACTATTAGGTATGCAGTCATGATGGTATAAGGTTATACAAATATGCCTTTGTGATCACTTATAATGCATTATGTTTCCTACTTTTGGTTGCAGGAACCCAGATGTAATTTATGTAACTGTGCATGACAGAAAAATCCATTTAGGTGAGCAATCTGATTGGAAATGTGCCATCATTAACTTAATTTACATCCCTTGTGCTTCTGTCAGTTTGTCTGTGTAAGGAAACTACAGTTTTCTCCTCCACAAGTCCCTTTTTGCTCCTTTGTGAATCACCACTTTAACACCGTTGGATGACTGATTGCACCAAATATCCAAGAAGCTGCATTATCAGGGGCAGTTTTCTCCTGGCTGGATCTGCCAGGGGAGACAGTTTCTGAGTTCCCTAAGCATCAATCAATTAGCATTTAATACTGAGACAAGATGGAACCCAACCACCTCATTCTGTTTACTTCTTAACATTGTCTTTGAATGCATGTGAGTGAAGGTACTTACAACTATCTTCTTCTTCAGAAATGAGCTTCACCACATAACAGGCGTAGATAAACCCCACCAACTGCAGACAAAGAAAGAAAATAAACAAAAACAAATGATTATTTTTTTTAGTCAACACCAAAAAAAGAGTGAGAAAAAGCCACAAAGCTTAGACAAATGCAATAGTTGGAACAGACAGGGCAAACAGGTGCTGATGTAAGTGGAGCAGAGCAGTTCCAAAATAGAGCACTTGTATTTCCCTTCCTCACACACACACACACACACACACACTCAATTACATCTTCAATAACAACCACAAGGTTATTCTTAATTTTAATGCTGGAGCTGTATAGAGAAAGTGCTTACATATACATTCACAAATTCCAACGTATTAGACACAGTATTCAAACCACCTCCACATGCAGATGGTGCTTATTTCACTTAAATTGGATGTAGAGGATAAAAATCAGAGTAGTTTAATTGGTATTTCTAAGCTGAGGTTTAGAGCGCTGCTGTTCTTTCTACCATTCACAGGAAAACCTTACAGATAACAGATAACTACAGATTATAGATAACTCAATAACATTTGTTACACAAGACAAAACTGAAGATTTATTATGTTCTTACAAAAATTAGGGGACCTTAATTATGTACCTCTGCTTGCATGCGATATTTAACATGATGTAGCGATCCAAATTAGCAAGAGCACCTTAGCCCCCTGGACTCTCATTGGCTGTCTGTTTCCATGGCAACTGATAGCAAGTGGCCGACTGAGGCAAAATATGCAGGAAGGTGCAGCCCTATAGGGTCGGAATTTTAGTGACCTTATTACCCTTGGGCGTCTTTTGAAGGAGCAGAAGGGAGAAAAACTGTTTGCAGAGCTGAAGATGCAGGCAGGGGGTGACAGAAGTGCACATCTGGGGTCTGTTTGAGGCATTACTACTTGGAATAAAGAGGCTTTAGAACTCAAATCAGCCTTTAAGTAATGGGGGGAAAATAACATTGACCTGGCTGGTTTTCTATCGACTGCGTGGAAGAATGCCAGCACATCCACATGTGTTCACATTAAACACTCTGCAAGGCCATGATTGTGGGAAGCTGCATTAGGGATTCAGCGTATATCTCAAGGTCTTGACCTCATTTAGTCTAAATAATGTTCAGCTCCCACACCCCCCCGTTTCTCAGAGCATTCCTGCTTCTCTCTTCATTCTCATACTCTCTCAACTTTCCAAGGTTTGTCTTTTTTCTTCATCTTTCCCAGCTCTGTTTCAGACAACAAGCAAGCATTATCAACATGAGGGATCAATGAGAGAAAAAAAACAAAATCAATGGGCTTTATATAGCAGATATGACCACTGATCGAAGATAAAGATAAGCTTTTCGGGCTACAGCATCTCAGTTTTCACTGCTTTTGGCTGACATTTATAATTTGAAAGATTAAGATGACATCAACCCCACAGGCAGTCTCTACTGTGGGCAGCCAATCCCCCCGGAAGCATTTCCTTTTTTATTGGCATCCATATGAAGGAGACTTTTACCATTACAAAGTTATAATGTTGTTTAAGAGATCATAAAGAGTTTGGGGAGGTACCTAGAGTTAGAGTGGTTCTGGAACCTGCTCTGTTTCCTACAGGCTCATTGCCTCTGAAAATGACTTTGGGGTGCAGTTTTGTTAGCGTGACTGAACATGACACAGAGAGTGGTGCTCACCCTGCCATACAGAACCACCGTTAGACCTCCGCAAAGCACATTTTCTCTCCACATCAATATCCTGTTAATATCCCACCAACCCAAGAGTTGCTGCTACATGTAAACATAATATCCTGTTTACAAGAAATCAGATTCTATCTCCCAACAAAGCAGGGCAAATCAAATGTGATGGCTAAGATGCGACAATATGCGCGGAGACTTGTGGTATTCATGGCTTATCTTTTAAATGTTGCAGGAGTATGCTTGTAGTTTTTATTTGAACTATGTTCCTCACACAGCCTGCAAGGTTTTTAAAGTGCTATGGAAAGTTTACATACATAGCTGTATACGAACTACATTAAATACTCTAAATAAAATGTCTTAAACAAATCAGTAAAACTATAAAATGTTGGGGTAGAAAGATTCGCTATACTTTGTCCTGCTTTGCAAAATCTTAAATTGTTCTGTATGAATATAATCATTGCAAAAGCTAATATGTGCAAAGTCTATATAAGAAAAGAAATTATGTGTGTATTTCACCAGAAAAGGCAAATAGTTTTTTTTTTTTTTTTACCTCTTGCCTGGGAAATGCTGTTAATCCACAGCTGGCCGTTTATGTCATTTTTTTTAGAAGCTAGCAAAAATGGAAATAAATCGGCTTTTAACTGCAAGCACAGCGTCTGGACAATTTCTGCTTACCATTTTCCCCGGCAAATGCGTGACAATCATAATATTCCGGTTTAAAAACACTCTGGTTGCTTAAAGCATCGGCTTAGCCCCTACAGTCATATTGTTTACAATAACTTAACCTTTAAGGACTCCATCTGAAAATCAAGACTCATTAGACCCAGTAATCAACTTTCTGTCTGTTGTCCATTTTAGTTTGAAGCCTTAAATTCCTGTTCTAAGCTGACATGGCAGCTGGGGTGGCCTTCTGCTGTTTTAGCTCTATTATCTACAAGACTTGATAAGATGTTGTGCATTCAGAGATGTTTTTGTATACACCTTCTTACGGGTTACAACAGGTTAAAATTACAGCTACTATGTTTCTATAATTTCTGAAACTCTGCCCATTCTCCCCTCCCATCAACAGGACATTTTTATCTAGCCAACTACCCTATGGGGGCTAGAGCTGACTATGTAATGCTGCAGATGGATGCAGGTTAATAATGTTCGTGTTTTCAGATCCACTCATTATCTTTACCTGCAAAAGAGGACCAGTCTCTTTAAAATGAGTTTCCTTGTGTGTGCTAGATATTAGCTCTTCGGCCAAAGCAGCTAAAAGCCACCTAGAAAAACATTTTGCTTTTGATATTCCAATACAATTAATCACATAATGTTAAGAATCAGTTGTCTGAATGGTTATTCATTTTTGTTTAGACAAAGTCAGTCTTTAAAATATTATTTTGCCAAAATAATGTTTTATTAATTGTATTGTGCATTGGGTTGAAGACAGTCCAGTTGCTCTGAATTAGCTTAAAAGCTTATTTGACCTCATTCCAAAATCTTCAAGATAAATTTCTGAAACAGTTTGGAGCAGGTTTACAGAACAACCCATGAGAGTGAAATGGTTGTTTGATAAAATGTTCAATTAGATAAATGCATACAATTGCAACGTATCATTATGATGTTCTGTAGGTTGGCAATACATAAAGCTATAAGTTAAGACAGCTTATTTCCCACATTTGTGTCAGCTCTGCTCTTAAAAATAGATTTCTACTTAATATCTCCATACAAGCAGTAAATAAAGGTTTTAGCCAAGACGAAGTGACAATGTGATTCAAGATCCCTTTGAATTGCCTACACTTACATGGAAGCAATTGACAATTATCTAGAGTTCATGTAGAATTTAGTCAGGAAAACAATGGGGACTAATGCAGGGCGAACTGTATATGCTGAACCTCTACTAGACATGGAAAAAAGTTATACACATGATCAACTCTGAATGCCTCAATCTATCTGTGAAACAAAGCATTGAGAAATAGACCAATAAATATGAACTAAGATGAATTCCCTGTATTGAACGGCCACTAAGCTGGGAGTAAAAACAGCCTCATATAAAGGAGTTAATGTATAGCAGTGAAAAAGTTTAACTATAGTTGCACATACTTCAACAAAGACGCACAGGCTTTTTGTACACTGAAAAAGTTTAAGAAAATCAAAAAAAGAGATGAGGAAAACTGGTTTACTTTCTATTTTACAGAATATACGGTAGTATATTTTCTAATAAATATATCCTAAGCTTTATTTGGCTTTGAAACACAAACTGCATCTGTACATTGCAACTCATAATGTTTTCAGTGGTGTGAAAGAGATTTCATTGCCTTCCTAATGATTACAATTTATTTTGCATTTATGTCATACTTAAGTGTTTCAGAACAGCACATTAAAAAAATTAATAAAAAATAAATCAAAGACAATACACTTTAAGGTTTTAATTATCAAGAGAAAAAAAAAACATCTAAACCCTACAAGCAAATTTGAAAAAAAAAAAAGATTTGCTCCTTAAATTTAGGGATACCCTTAGCACCAACAACTATAATAAAGCATTTGTGATAACCTGCAATGAGTCTTTCACAGCTCTGTAGAGGGATTGTAGCCCATTCATCTTTTCACAATTGCTGTAATTCTGCCACATTAAGGGGTTTTCAGCATGAATGGCCTTAGATGCTAAGGTCATGCCACTGCATCTCAATAGGATTTGGGTCAGAACATTGACATGGCCACTCTAAAGTATTTTTTCATTCAGAGCTGTAGTGTCATTGATCATTATTCTGCTATGGTACTGTAGTTTGTTTCAACTTGAGGCAATGTCTTGTCTCTCAACCATTGAGTCTGCCTTTCTGCATCTGTGAGTTTCTGTCTGAGCTCATTGGTCGAACAATGGAACTCTGAACCTATCCACGTGCGCTGTGGATTCCTGGAACCCTGGATCTGTCTGTTACCATATGGATCGGAACCCCTGACCGGGCTACGGTCTCCTGGATTCCAGAACTGTTCTTGTCTGATATGTATGCTTGACCTGAATCAGATTCCTGCCTGCTCTCTGGGTCGGGGGCACTCTGGGCAGCTCCTTGCTCCGCAGCTCGTTTAGCAATCCTGGATTGCAGTGACTCACTCGGATAATCATCTCCAGTCAGATCATCGTGGTCACTTACCTGTGCTTCTCCCTCCAGAGTGTCAGCGATTGGGCGAAACATTTTGAAACTTCCCATTGCCTGACTCGCCTGAATTCTGGGTCCATCGGTCCCGGTTGAGTGACATATTATCTTTCCGGGGATTCTTGATACTCCAGTTTTACTGGCATTTCTAAAATGTCCTAAGGTGTGAGAGTGTGTGCATGGTATTTATATCTTTGTATGTGTCTTTGTTGCCCTGTGACAGACAGACAAC